CACACTAAGCAGGTCATCCGTGGGATATTAACTGGGCTTATGAGGTTGGTATCGACCCAAGGGGGATACCGTAAAAGTCCGTAAATAAGTACGTATTTACTTTCGAATTTAGTGACCACACCCGTACTAACTTTCGGGCGGGTACTGACTTTCGGGCACGAACTAACTTTCGGACCTGACTTGTGTGTAGTGGAGAAGTCATTTTCATGTCGATGTACATGCTACGTGCTGCATGTGCGCACCATACCGGTACTTATTTCGGGCAGTATGTTTATCGGGCTTGACTTGACTTTAACAGACAGAGCCAAAAGAATGAAGGGGGTATTTCTTTCGGGCAGGTACTTATTTACGGACTTTTACGGTACTTAGACTTACTAGAGGATGGCGGAGAAGAGCTGGTGCGAGGTTGATACTCTCTCAAGTGGTGCCCAAACACACTTTCCAATTCCTTACGGAATACAGCATGTGCCTGGCCAGGAGAACAGTGTTGGAAGAGTGCTCTCCAATCCCGCTGCTCTAACTCACAGTTGATAGCATGCCATGTTTCCGGGGTTGTATCCTTGAAGCAAAAGGTGATGTCTTCAGGGCCATCTTGAGGCTGGGAAGGTTCATCGCGAGCATAAGGCAGGAGGGGCGGCTCAAAGGAGCACAACATCTGGACATGGTCAGAGGCCCCTAGTGGAGGAGCAGAGGTGATGCGACTTATGCTGTGTGCGCAGTTCGTCACCAGTAAGTCAAGGCATGATGTCTTTCCTGAGGGTGCAGTGTGTGTTGGAAAGTCAATTAGTTGCTGTAGCCTGTAGCAGCGAAATAGGAGATCTAGCTCGATTCCAACAGGTGATGAATGGTTGGTTGGACACCCGTGACGATGAATTGTGGCCATTGAAATCACCCGTGATTAGGAGTGAAAGGGAAGACAGATCGAGAGACTGGACAACATCGTCCAGCATGTCAATGAAGTAGAGACGGGAGGCTTCGGGGGTTCTCAATGGAGGGCGATATGCACAGCACACGAGAAGAGGAGATTTGCATGACTGCGGGTGCAACTCCAGCCATATGGTTTCACATTGAGGACGAGATAGATCTGGCCTCGGTGTAACTGTGGTGAAAGCCCAGATTCGCAGCAGTATTGCAACACCTCCATAGCCTCGGAGTTCATCAGTTGCCCTTCTGTTCTCGGAGATAGGCCCATCACGGCGGAAGCAGACATAACCAAGGATATGAAAGGCAGCGTTTGCGGTTAGCCATGTTTCTGTTAAGCATACGACGGCAGGAAAGTGTTGATAAATGATGAATTGTAATTCAGCTGCTTTGTTTGAAATAGACCGGCAGTTAGTGGTTAAGATTGAAGGCGGGGTTGAAAGACTGCTGCATTGTGCCTTAGATGAGTTGCTGTTGGGGCAGCGGATTTAACAGGAGGTGAACACTTTGTATGTGCTGCCATCCTATCGATGGCCATTTGGGGCTTGGTCAGAGGTGATCCTGTCCTGCTTAAAGTGCCATTCTCTTGCGATGACCTCTGGAGGCCAGAAATCTGGGCCGAGGGCTGCTTCCTTGTGTTCCGCTGGAATGACGACGTGGGCAAATTCCACTCCAAAATACTTGGTTTCGGAGACAGAGTATTTCATCACTTGTATTTCTCATCTTGTAAACCACTTGGCGATTGAGTCGGAGGAGCATCCACTCTTTACGTTGCCCAAATATAGTGCGCAACACTTCGTGCGGAACCCTCGTGACAGCTGTTCCGAGGGCTTTGGGCGGGTCTCGTAGTACAATGTGACTCGTGTTGAGGGAACGGTGGTCTCAGTACGTGTGTCTACGTGTGTCGTATGCCTTATTTGGTCCCGGGTGCCCAGCCTGTACTGTGGATCATAGGAACTCCAACCATGTCCAACTATGCAGTTGCCTGTGCTATACAACAACATTGCGCAACCATAAGTGATTTGCAACGTCATACAGAATCAATGAAAACTGAATGCAGTACTTTGACGTACCTGACAGTAAAATCAGTGATTTGTAACATCTTTACTACATCCTCAACCCGTCGCCATTATGTTATTGATCTGTAACATCACTAAAACGAGAGAGCTGTAAAGCTCAGGGCCCCACGCTATGCTTTTTTGCCTAGCTCATCGTGAACGTTATTCAAACTGATGGAAACGTTTTTGCAATACAATGATGTAGCCGATAATGTAACCGCAATGCAACTTTTGCATAGCTGCAAAGATTGCATAGATGACGGCCCTATGCCTACGGACCGCAGTCACCGCATAGGGAACAAGTTTGAAAAATTGTTGCAGCCGAAATTTTGTTTTGCAAGGTTCAGTGTGACAGTGTATACAGGCAGCAGCAATACAGGCCGAATATAAGTTGCAGTCGAAATGACTGTGTTTTAGCCCTGGGAGGCTGACATTTGAATAGACCGAAAATTTGTCGACTTACAGTATCGGGGGAATGCATGAAAGGCGATAGTGCGGGTTCAAATCCCATGTTATGTCTTGAAAAATTGGAGAAATGAAAAAATATAACATCGCTATGCTAGGTCATCAAGTTTGCAGTGTCACGTTATCGTTCGAATGTTTTTAGGTGTGCTGCTAATGGGCCGGGAATGTAAGGATCGGGTAAATTGCAGTGTTTTAATGGGCGCGGTTGTTGTATAAATGGAATGCTGAGATCATTGACTTGACAGAGGACTATGAGGAACAGCAAAATGACAGGGGTGACAGTGTTGAAGCTCTGAGCAGATGGCATCGGTAGGAGTGCCTACGCAGAGAGTAGAAGATGGGAGAAGAGAGGTTCCGCTGCCTCGAGAGTCACCGTGCTTGCAAAAGGCTACGCCGACAACAAGAGACAAAGGTGCAAATATATCCCATCGTTTGTGGACTCGCCGACTTCATGAAAAGATGCGTCGACAGCAAGAGACTGCTGACCAGGCATCCAATCGGCAGGAGAAAAGACGTGATCATGCCTGAACTTGTTCCCTATGCGGTGACAGCGGTCTGTAGGCATAGGGCCGTCATCTATGCAATGTTTGCCGCTATTCAAAAGTTACATAGCGGTTACATTATCGGCTACATCATTGTATTGCAAAAACGTTTCCATCAGTTCGAATAACATTCACGATAAGCTAAGCAAAATATAGATATGCGCAGAATATTTGTTGACTTACAGTACACTTTGAATACAAGCACATTCCAAGTTGCTTCACTTTATGATCTTGCAGTTGAAAGCCCTATTTGAATAATGGGGCCCGCTGTCTTTGATGGTACGGTACGGGACATATAGGTGATAGCACCAGGCATGCCCGACGACACAACAAACAATTCCCGAATTAAAGCTGTGGGTACCCTGGCTAGCGCCAGACGTTACTCAAGTAATGTCTTTTGCATAGCTACGGGAATAGTATCCGATAGGGTACCCATGCTACTCAATTTGAAATACTGGAACTCATTACCTCATCAAGCCTACCCATTGCAGCCCTACTAAAATCATTATTCCTTGGTATAATATTCTCACAGATTGCTCAGCTTGCCTTGATCCTAAAAAATAAAGCCTTATCTGTGCGTGCCTATGTGAATTGTTGCGTC